CCACACTGTCCCTGCTCGAGGTGGATGAAGAGAGCAAAGACGGAGTATACGAGCTACTGGTATGACGGTGATAGGAAGCGGAGGATGGAGTACTGGAACTGCTGCCCGAAACAGAGGTAGCGAAGGTGGACGTGCTTGCCGAGCGTAGGCGTGTGGAGGGTCGAGAGCCTGTAATGTATACAGATACCGTAATCGACACAGACAGAATATGATCAGCCCATGAAATTCGATCGAGAGTGTGATATTAAAGAGAAAGTTTAAGAAACACATGCAAGTAGCGGACCACGAGCGATAGGCCACAGTCGCCGCCACACCCGAGAGGCGAAGTGTATGAGAGAGGATACGAGAGGTTTACTCACTAGAAGATAGATCGTCATATGGGGTCGCAGATTTACTAAGCTTGATTTCTTCTTGTTTTAGGACTTTATCGGCTTGCTGTTCGGCCTTGTGGGCGACGATGCGAGCTGTCTCGTGCTCGATAACCCGTTGGAAGACGCCTGGCTCTATGACATGATGAAAGACGTTTCCCGTACCCCCACGACCTCCGGCAGTGGCCTACAATACCAGTTAATTATTCATGAATTCGCGCGGACACTCGACACTCACTCGGTCGCGGGCGGTTTCGACCTCGAGCTGTTTTGGCTGACGAACAATGTCTGGATCTACCAGACGTTTCTTACTTGCTGAGCCCTTGGTTTTGTGAATGTTACCGCTTCCACCTCGACCAGATGCCCATCTGTCTCGCCCAAACTCGTCAGTGGCCTAATGGCAATGAAAGGGGATCGACGTACACAACAGTCTCTTGCTTGGTTGACTTTTCCTTGGGAGGCATATCCCACAGTATGGAGTACGAAAAACGGGAGAATGTTGGGGGCTCAAAGAAGGCGGCGAAAGTGGCCATATATATACGCTGAGCCTTCCTATACGAGGGGCTCAAGCACAGTGGGAGGGTGGGGGGCACAGATAGTGGCGGGGCGTGGTAACCCCCGCTGAATGCGATAGTACTCTTTCTATGATATAGTTCTGTGTCCTAGACATCAATTGCGAAGTTATGCCTTGATGGTGAAGATACAGCTTCCTTTCCTATCCCTCTTTTGATCCCACACCGCGTACGTATGTAGCCCATGTATGCAAGCTTCTCTCGTGGTCCGGCCAGCCTGACACTCGCAACGAGCCTTACCCGAGACAGAGAATGTCGTCGGTGGAGGTCTTGGATGTCGTAGCCAGCCTTTAAATTCTGCCAGAGATAAGCTATCATCGACCGTGGGCCTCCATGGGCGCAATAAACTCATGATTTAACGAGACAGTTATACACGGCAAAGACAGAGCTCGCACTTGTGCATACCACCGTATATACACAGCAAGTGAGAAAGTGAAGAGGAGTGGAAGAGACGCGGCTGATGTCAAGAACCGTGCGCTGGGCTTCGGTGTTGCGGCTCTAGGCCACGAGAGCTTTCATCCGTCAGACACGGATTGAGTGGCCTTGGAATTGGAGGGGGGAGAGAAAGAGAGGGCGAGTGAGATGCGATCTCCCCACTGTTAATCACTGCCTCTGCAGGGTCCCCCCGATCCCTTGCAATCCCTCACAAACTATGTAGGTCTATTTACAAGGAAAATGCGCGGATCACAAGGTCTTCAGATTGCACACGTACAGATTGCGATTTACATTAAACTCGTTGTAGGTATTTCACCGTCACTGGAATAGGTCATAAATACGAAGGGGGGCACACTCCCAGATAAGGAAGAAGTGGAAGGATGATGGGCCACATTTTCAGAGGGTTGGATACATGTTCATCAGAAAGAAGGCGCCTTGCCCGTGGCGGATGCAGAAGCGGTCGCGGACGCGGACGCGGTAGGTACAACAGGCTCCATACCACCTATAGGGTCTGCACCACCGATTGGCTCGACGACATAGTAGCTGAAGAATTGCAATTTAAAGGCAAACGCCAGGCCAGCGTGCAGAAGGACCAAGACGATGACCAATAATCGGGTTGCTCTCGCTTCGGCCTGTAAGAAGTCGCCCGTAATATAAATGTCAGTAAGAATGAATGATCGATTTTGAGGTGGGTGGGATACCACATCCGAGACCCCGACAGCTGTCTTTGCCAAGACCCACCGGCATCACCAGAAGTTGGACAAGGAGGACATGGTGGAGTTTGAAAGAGTGACGCACCGTTGCTAGGATTGGATAAACGTTCGATACGAGGAAGTAGCCTGATAGCCCAAAAGCGACGCCACACAGTGCCCAGCGTAGGATGGGAACGGGAATGATACAAAGAACCTGGTTTGCCACCGAAGAAATGTCAGTTTTCGAGTGTCTCATGATCAATATCAGAAGAGTGATGGATGGTGATTTGACGCTCTTTATTATGCTCCACCTCCGAACAAGATAATTGCGAGGCACCGAGGAGGAGAGACTAGATTCCACTTACCGATACTGGTATCCAAATGAACTGCCCATACCCATAGATTGCAAGCGCTTCCACAAGACTCCACTCTGAAACGCCAAAGTATCGAAGTACTAGCCACAGGATAGCAGGAAGTCCCAACCCATACGAGTACACAAGCGAGACAGCTATCGAAAGAAGCTTAAAGTCGTAGTTGAAGGGGACACCTGACAAATAAGAAGTGATGGATGAAGCGAGCGATGAGAATACGAAGAGCGAGAAGGCGAGTGTGCTCAATGTCCAGAAAGGACCATAGAGGTCTGGAGTCGGGCTAGATTATACCGATAAATAATCAAGAATCAATATTTTGCTTTTATCCTCATGGCAGAGTGAAGGTGCGCTACGGACCTTAGGTGGTTTGTCAAATAGTCCTTTTCTGTGGGCACCATAGTATAATAACATCGTCTCAGGACCTAAATTGTAATGTCAGCTTACATTTGTACCTCAATAATATGGCAGAAACCTACAGTCTGAGGATCTACATCGAACCATGGCTGGTAATACTCGATATTC